ATACAGGCTACTGATTTTTTCCTCACATTTATACTGTGTAATAAAAGGGGAAGATAAAGAAATAACTAGGTCACCCGTTGATATTTTTATATTATATCACAAAAATTTTTTTTATGCAACCGTATCAGAATATAGTTTAGATAAGCAACGTAAAAAAAGATATAATCTTAGCGAATGAAAATCGTTTCCCAAACGCTATATGATCATTTATGAACAACTGCTGCTTTGATGTCTTTCTAGTATACATGGTAAATTCACAATCTAATGATTTATGAATCTGAATCATCATTGCCTGATCAAAATAAACTTTCAACGCCGAGCAATGGCGTTATTAAAACACATGAGCAAAATTTTTCAGTAGTTGATGCATCAGAAAAACAACGACGATCAAAATTAATCATCGGTGAGCGTGATTCATTTATCAATGAGGAATCAAAAGAACAAAAATCCATCATCAATAAGCGTAGATCGTTTGCTAAAGTCGGTGGTGGATTTATTTCAAAATTCATTTTAAATCTCCCTTTAACTGTACTATCAAAGAACACGTGGTACTCAGAATTAATATTCAAGGCACTACTAAATCGTAAAAGAACCAGGTCTTTGTTGGGAAATGATGTGGAAAAGCAAACGGATGCAGCGCTAGAATACGGCACGATTTGGTACATTATTCGTAAAGCAAACCAGAAACAGTTAGAAAAATTATTGAATAAAGATCCAGATAAAGTAAATGAAAGAGGATTGTTGGGCGAGTGTCCCTTACACATGTTGTTTTTATACGGAATGCCAAAACATTTACAATTAGCCAAATATATTATAAATAAATTTCCAGATACGATTACGGCCACCTATAATAAACCGGTATAAATATATTCTAACTACAGTATGAGTTGACAAAATACCTGATTGTTTTAGGAGTATCATGGTGAGAATGTATTACATATAGCAATAATCAAACAGAATGCAGAAATGGTAGAATGGCTTCTAGGTGATCCAAATAATCGTGCGTACAATGACAAATTGTTAAATACTCCCGCTGATGGTGATTTCTTTGATAAGTAAGATATCATTTTATCGCTATGATATACTAATGAACAATGTTTTTTCCTCAGAGATAGACTATGTTATTATGGAGAATATCCATTAGCATTTGCCTGTTGTACAAATCAATGGAATTTAGCTAAGATTTTAATTAAATATGGAGCTAATCTCGACAAGGTTTGTATTATATCATCTACTATTGGCATACATAGTCGTGCACATTATAGCAGTGTACGCTCTAGACTGATAGTTATGGTAATACCATATTACATTTATTGGTTATTCACAATCTGCCGAATTTATACGTTAAGTTTAAAGACTGTTGGATCAAACAATTTAATCGAAATAAACCTGAAATGCCAGCCACTTTGCGCAAAAATTCATCGGCTCACAGTGACAGTAATACTTCAGACGAAGAGGACAACGGTGAACAAAACGAAGTCGACCCGTATGACACTGAGGATAATCCACCATTATGGAGGCGTTTAAATAAAGAAAATTTAACACCATTAACATTGGCAGCTAAACTTGGACAAGAGGCAATGTTTTCATTTCTAATAGAAGAACGAAGAATTATACAATGGACATTTGGACCAGTAAGATGTGTTTTATATCCGTTAGATCAATTGGATATGGAACTTGAAGTCAAAGTATGTTCTATACGCAATTTTTTTGTTAAACTTACATGTTTAAAGAAAAATTGGTGCTGATTGAATCCCTAAAATAGAGAAGAGAAAAGTCCAATTTCATTTAACAAGATACATCTTAAAATTCATATGTAAAATCATATGTAAAACATAAAGTTATCAAGCGCTTCTCTTCATAATCTAATGTGCTACTAATATGATAAAAGCGGTCAGATGTTCAGTTCTCTTGAAATATGCATCATTCGATAGGGAGTTTCATGCTGATTAAGAATATGTTACTTCGAATTATTT